TTGACATCGTCTGCATAAAACGACTGGCTGTCAATTGGTAGGATCAATCCAATCTCGTTTATGAAAATCGAAAATAGTACCGGTCCCAAGATGCTACCTCGAGGAACGCCCAACATGCTTGTGAAATAGTCCGAAAGATCTGACCCAATTTTCACGCAGGATTTAAACCAACGAATGAAGCCATCCAACTCGCCAAGCTTATCAAGTTTTGCCAAAAGTATGGCGTGCTCAACCCAGTCACAAGCAGCTTTTTGATCCGTGTACACAGTGTCTACCTGTGATCCTGCTTCCTCATTCCTTAGGCACGATGAAATGAAAGGAGCAAGGTTTGTTGAGACTTAAGAGAAGAGGTAAAGTGAAGTTGACCCCTCGGCTATTTTAAGCCTTTCGTCTGTTTCCTTTCTTGAAAATCGGGATCATGAATGAAGATTTCCAGCCGGTTGTAAACTCACTCTGCTGCAGCAAAATGTTGAACAACTTTGATAAAGGAATGATGAGTTCAGTTGAGTATTTCTTCAGTACGCAAGAAGAGATTCCATCAAAACCAATAGCATGAGAAAATTTTAGATTCCCAATTGCAGATTCGACGAATTCAAGAGTAATAGTTGAAAATGTTAAATTTTAGCACATCGCTGGGAGCATCTCTGATAGCTGCACTAATTTGAGTTGACGAAGCGGAAAAGCCATTGAACTCGTTCCTAAAATATTAAGACAGAATATTGCATTTCTTCAGTGATGTGCGAGCGCGCCTTTACGAACGACCAAAATTGTTTTTTTTTACTTGATTTGTTTTCTGTCGATGTTGTTTTCCGTGCTGCGCACCAATGCTACCGACGCCAGGGAGACAGCTCCCACACCTGGACTCTACCTATCGACTTATCAACTCAAGAACCGGATATCAACGGCTTTTACTTCCCTTCCGAAGGAAGGCGTGATCAGAAATGTTATGCCTCAGAACATCCCGACTGGAATTGAACCCTGGCCTGCTGGGGTGAGAAGTAATCACGCTTACCACCACACCACCGGCGCTGCTGACCAAAATAGTTAAAAATAGTTAACTTCAGAAAACAAATGTAGCGACTTTTCAGATTTTCCAAAAGCAAAGTCGAGAAAACATTAAAGATGTTGGGAGACCATGCAAGTCTGAAAAATTGCAAGAATTTTAATGAAGTTCAGAGAACTTCAGAATTTTTTTTTTAAACTTTATGTTAGTTCCATTAGCTTCAGAAAAAATGAGGGATCCTTCAAGAATGAAAATATATTGGAGTTTTAGAAAACTTCACAGTAGGCGCTAAAAGTTCAAGAACGTCCAGAACTACGGGCAAGTGTTAAGATCTTTCAGATAAGTTCCGATAGCTTCAGGGCAATTCGATAGATTTCAGAAAAATTTATAAAAATTAAATGAAAAATAAAGAGCAGTTTCATTATTATTTTAAAGTTAAAGTAATGTTCAAGGTAAAGTTATGTGAAAGCTAAGATAAAATTGAGTTAAAGTTATGTCAAAATTAATTTAGAGTCATGTTTATGCTTATGTTATGTTAAAGTTAAGTTAATGTTAGGATAAAGTTATGTTGAATTTAAGTTAAAATTACGTAAAGGTTATGTTAAAGTTTAGTTTAAGTTAAGTTAGAGATATGTTAAGTTAATGTTAGGTTATAGTTAAGTTCAAGTTATGTTAATGTTAAAGTTATTTTAAATTTAGGACAAAATTTAAAGTAAAGTTCAGTTAATGTTAGGTTGAGGTTATGTTAAACTTTAGTTCAAGTAAAGTTAAAGTTATGTTAATGTTAAGTTAAAGTTATTATAAAGGTTAAGTTAAGTTAAGTTAAAGATCTGTTTAGTTAATTTAAGGTTATAGTTAAGTTCAAGTTGTGTAAATGTTAAAGTTATTTTAAATTTAAGATAAAATTTAAAGTTAATTAAAGTTATGTTAATGTCAGGTTAAAGTTGTGTTAAATTTAAGTTAAAATTAATTTAAGGTTATTTTAAAGTTAAGTTCAAGTTAAGTTAAAGTAACGTTAAAGTTAAGATAAAGTTATTTTAAAGTTAAAGTCAAGTTAAAGATATGTTAAGTTAATATTACATTATAGTTAAGTTAAAGTTATGTTAAATTTAAGTTAAAAATAAGGTTAAGTTAAATTATAGTTAAGTTAAAGTAAGGTTAACACTAAGTTAAAGTTAAGTTAAAGTTAAATTAAAGTTAAGTTATAGTTAAGTTAAAGTTAGGTTAACACTAAGTTAAAGTTAAGTTAAAGTAAAGTTAAAGTTAATGATAAGTTAAACTAAGTTAAGCTAAAGTTAAGTTAAGTTAACGTTATCTTAAAGTTATGTTAAAGATAAGTTAAAGTTATGTTATGTTATGCTCAAGTTAAGTTTAAGTTAAGTTAAAGTTAAAGTAATGTTCAAGGTAAAGTTATGTGAAAGTTAAGTTAAAATTAAGTTAAAGTTATGTTAAAATAATTTAGAGTTATGTTAATGCTTATGTTAAGTTTAAGTTCAGTTAATTTTAGGTTAAAGTTATGTTAAATTTAAGTTAAAATTGATTTAAGGTTATGTTAAAGTTTAGTTAAAGTTATGTTGAAGTTTAGTTATAGTTATGTTAAAGCTTAAGTTAAGTGAAAGATATGATAAGTTGATGTTAGGTTAAAGATATGTTAAAATTTAAGTTATATATTAAATTTCATTAAGATTAAGTTAAGGTTATGTTAAAGTTATGTTAAATTTCCCTAAAAATCTGCAAATTACTTTGACGATCTTCGAACTTCCCTGAAGTTCTGTGTACTCCCAGAAGCTCTGTGAATTTCTCTGAAGATCTTCGAATTACCCTGAAGCACTAAAAATTTCTCTGAAAGTCTGCAAAACTTCCCTGAATTTCTGCAATTTTTTCTGCAGCAATAAAAATTTATCTGAAGACCTCCTTTAAGTTCTGCAAATTTCTCTGAGGATCAACAAACTTCCCTGAAATTCAGTATTTTTCCCTAAAGTTCTGCCAATTTGCCTAAAGCTCTGTGAACTGCCCTGAAGTACTGAAAATATTTCTTAAGATGTACCATCTTTAAATTTATGTAATCTTCCCTGAAGTTCTGTGAGTTTATCTAAAATTCTGCGAACTTTTCTGAACAGAGTCGCGCACGGAACCCTTTTGGATACGGCTGTGTTTTAAGTTTGTTCTCTGTTTTGTGCGTGCGTTCGCTTTCATAGTTTTCAGCTGCATTTGCCGGATTAGCGCTGGCACTCTGCCTCCCGGACGGTTATACGTGTGTGATTGGTGGTTTTCTCACTTTCTGGGAAGTTTAAAAATCGAGAAAGAAAACGTGATTCATCATGTTTGCAAGCATCAGAAGATTTGGCGCTTTCTGCGTTGTTTGATTTTTTTTCCCGGACCAGATATTTGTGGCATCGCGAGTGATAATGTTTAATTTCAGTTTATGTACGCGCTGCAAGGTGCGTGAAAGAGCTCGGCACGATCGGTGTTGATGTTGGTTCACTTGCAACTATTTTTGCAAAAAAATAAAAAATTACGTGTTTTCGAACGAAATTGATATCGGAAGTGTACCAAAAGTGCTTCTGAACGTGTTTCGCAGTTGGGTGTGGTGAAATTCGCGATTGTTTTCAGTAAAAATTCCGTATCACAAATTTGCTCACCGAGTTCCCTTTTTTTGCCGTTCGACGACATCGGCAATGCGCTCCTGGATTTATTGATTTGGTGAGCACGTTCCAGTTGAAGATTGTTCTTATACATTTCTCGATTGAATTTTCGATGGGACGTGTCTGCTTTTGTGGGCAGTGCGTTTGAAGGTCGGTTTGGTAGTATCCTTGTAAAAATAATGTCTCATGCCCAAATAACCTCGATTTTCGGTCTATTGATTCAATACTTTAGTATTATATTTTCAAAACATGATGCATTATGTCATTTTGTCTAGGTTATTTGTATTGTGTAAAACATCTTAATTTTTTATTTTATTTTTCATTTTACTACATATTTTATATACATTATAATTTACATGACTATATATAAATTCAAAATGTAAATTACAATAAATACTGGGACAGGAGGGAGCATCAGGGCATCATTGAAGTTTTAACTGGATAATGGAGTGGAGGGATGGAGTGTACTGTCATTTTAGATAGTTACATTTCACTCCATCAGTTGCAATGAATTTGACGCGCTCTTCTTAAGCAAACCATCCCGTGTAAAGCTTAACATGTTTTGTGAATTTCGTTATTCTTTTTGTTGGATCATATTGTTGGAAAGAGATTCTCTTATTGCCGCGGGTTTTGCGTAAGTGCCTTTGCTTACGGGCCCGTCCAACCCTTTTTGGCTCTTCATACATCAGTATGTTGAATTCAGAATGATGACGGAGTTTGATCTTGCTGTTGAGTGGAGCCGCATACAGGGCAAGACCCAAGCTAAGATGGTGGCTAATTACATACATACATACATACAATAAAGAGCAGTCTCATTAAATCCAGGAAAGTTACAGAAACTTAACAAAAGTTGCAGAAACTTAACAAAAGTTGCCAAAACTTAAGTTGAGTTAAAATATCTTAAGGGGAGGTTCTCATTCAAATGGCTAAAAAGTAAGCAAAGTTTGATTTTTTTTTTTTGAATCTAGAAAATTATCACGTGAAGGTTTTGTACAAAAATATGCATTCTGGAAAAAAAAAACTTGCTTGTACGCTGCAGTCCATTGCAAGAACTGCCATTACACTTGTTGTATGAAACATATGCAGATAATGTTATAAATCCAACTTTACATTGGATGTAAGAGATATATGTTTAGCGTGTTCACAGCCAGTTATACTAACCAATTTTTCAATTGTTTGAAAATTCAGTAAAATCTAAGGTTACTAAAGTACTGATTCCCCCCGGTTTTCACAAAATTCCTAAACAACTGCGAAAAATTGATTAGCTAAGTGCCCGGTATGCCTTTATCTTTTCTGCTTTCGTAAATGTAGCTTATTTTCCATTTGCTTTTAGGTTCTACTTGTTTACTTACCGTGATTTCATGCTTTGTCCATGTAAACAGGAACTCCCATTAATTAATTTTCTTGCACACCCTCGAAACTAGTCCCATATTTCCGCTCAATTACACTCACTGCAAATCATAATGAATAGCACCGCTCTGTTTAATGTGTCCATATTCCAAAATCACCTGGCACCCTGCACTGAATAACTTGAACTTGAACATCCGTCGCAGACTCACTCAGACTTTATCCACTCCTTAATGGAAAACCGACACACGGACACCACGGGACACACGGTAGTGCCTCCGGTTGTCATGACACTCGCGAGATGAATGAAACCGAGACGGCCCTCGGTTATGTGGAAGAAAGATATTTACACACGAGGTCCTGTCGAGGATTTATCACGCACCTGCGCAGCAGTGTCTGCTAGTTAGGTAACCCATCGGCACCGGGAGGAGACAGTTCGTTCGTTGATTGACAGCATGGCGAAGCAGACGGTCGGAATGAGAGCAGACGAAATAGATCTATCTGTCGTGTGTGCTAATTTGGCGGGTGCTTTTGATTAATTGAAGTGCGAGTATGGTGGGAGAGAAGGTGGGTGCGGAGGAACGATGCTTTTGGCGTTTGATTGGTTCTTTCGGTATTCGGAGTGGAAATGGATCGTATCGTTTACGGGTCCTCCCTTAGCTCAGTCGGTAAGGGTGCAGCTACAAAGCAAGACCATGCTGGAGGCGGCTGGGTTCGATTCCCGATCTAGTATTTTTTTCGGGTTGAAAAATATATCGACTTCCCTGGGCATAGCTAGAGTGCGATTGTACTTACCACACAAGTATACTAATGAAAAACAGGTACAGACTTAGAAAGCTCTCAATTAACAACTGTGGAAGTGCATATACAACACTAAGTTGAGGCTGCCGTAAAGTTCCAGTAGGGGCGTAATAAAGCCAAATAAGACGATTGTCGTGACCGGACCGAGGTTTCCAGCCTCGGTCACGGCTACACGAATCTCGGCTGCTAAGCTTCCACTGCTACTGCTGCTATTCCTGTTGCTGTTCCTGCTGCTGCTGCTGTTCCTGTTGCTGCTGCTGTTCTTGCTGCTGCTGCTGCTCGTCCGTCGCCTTCAACGTTCGTCACAAGAATCCCTTCTGCGAGCTTAGTTAGCCCATATTTATACCAAAAGAATGTTCCCTATTTTACACAGCACTGCTAGCTGTCTCGGGATTTGCCCTCACAAAGCAATGATAGTTAGATTTTATTCACATTCACGCTAATTTGGGTTTACTCAAATTACGCGTTTCATTAATGATTTAATTTTCCTTTTTTTTTTTTAATCATTATTATTTTACACCAACTCTATACACCACATTCTTCCCCTCTTCTACTCTTATGAACACAAATGCAAACTTAGTTAGTTTTTATTTATTACCTTTTTTTTTGCATACACAACCAAACTGTACAATTTTTTTATTTATTTTTTTTTGCAATAAAATTCAACATACCCACATTAATTTCATCGCTGACTTCTGACAGCTTCGTAATTTTCCATCTATATGTATCACTTTTAAAATTTCTGCCTATTTCACTATGATCGTTTACTTCAGCGGCATCAATGTCCACACTATCTATTTTTAAAATGCCATAAATTATATCATGAAATTTAACTTCAGCATAGATGTCAAGTTCAACATCACCGTGTACATCAACATTACCGTTCACTTCAAGTATGGAAGGAGCTTAAATATAATTATTATTTTCATAACCTGTAAGCCCGACTGTATTTTTTATCGTTCATTACCTGTAAGCCCAACTTTATCGTCAACATCACTCTTACTATGAATTTCAAAAAAATACACAAATTTAATCATGAATATCAGCATTAACAAAGCTAAAAGCTACGTCATTATTTACCATCAGTTTCTCATTACCTTAAATTTCACAATTTCTGTCACCTGCAACATTAAAATCATAAATATGAATATTGACCTCAACTTCAGCTGTGCCAGCAACATAAAATATTACTCTCATTAACATAATCAATATCATCATTATAAATATTGAACATTTCAACAGCAACATTTCAATTTCAATAATCCAGTTAACTATCTCATCGATAATCTAAATCATTATCAATTTGAAAATTACCATCAACTTCAACAATGTCATCAACATACATTAATATTTGTTTAATTATCAATCTCAATCGTTAACATCTACATCATTCAATACAAACGTCAATATTTAAATTATCTTAAACTTCAATGCCATCCTCACTTCACCTTTTTTTAGCAATTTCAACTTAAACATCAACTTGGCTTCTACAATCATCTTCAAAATTGCTTTCAATTACAACATTTTGAATATTGCTGTAAATTACAATGCTGTAGTCAGCGTTGCCAGGTTGCCAGATTTATCTGGCACAGCCAGAGAAATTGTTGCTCTGCCAGACAGATTTTTTGAGAAATCTGGCAGCTTCCTATGTTAATTTGCTGTGCCAGATTTTTGCCAGACATTTTTTTCGGGTTTTGCCAGATTTTTTATAAATAAGCCTGGCATCTCTGGCTGTAGTCAATCACTATTACCATCAGTTCAATATTCCTAATAACTTCCATGTATGTCAACTGCGTCATACACTTAGTTATTTCAATCTATTTATTTATTTATTTATTTATTTATCGTCAATCAAGAGTAGACCATTTTGATACAATCAACACCTACACTTGATTCTATATTACCATGAACCTCAACATCATGAACAATATAGCCAAAAACCTCAATAATTTAATAAACTCTAGCATTGATATCAATCTCATCAACCTAAATAAACATCAACAGCATTATTAATTTAATGCTTAACTCAAACAATGATGTCAGTTTCAACATTGCCATCTCAACCCACATCATTCTCGTAAACTTTATCAACTTTAGCAAACAACCGTCCACTTCAAGTCTGGAATGAGCTAAAATATAATTATTATCTTCAAACATTACCTGTAAGCCAAACTTTTTCGTCACAACACTATGAATGTAACATTAAATACATTAACTTAATCAAGAATATCAACTTTAACAAAGGCGAAAACTACATCATTATTTACTATCAGCTTCACATCAACCCTAGAATCATCTTAAACTTTACCATCGCTGTCACCTGCAATATTAAAATCAACTTTCAACTCCCAGAACCTGGTTCTACGCTCGAAGTCAACTTATCTTTTAAATACAGATATCCAACCAACCAACTAACTAACGAAGTCTCCAACACCCGTCTAAAACTTTAGAGGATTTCACTTGATTGCTCTCAAACATTTTCTTCAAAACAACCTCCCTTCGCAGAGATCTTATCACAACAATCTTTCCTAAACTAATTTGAGATTCTCCCTGGGAGTACCTCAAAAATTTCTTTATAACAAATTAGAAATTCTCTGAAATTCTTGAACTACTTTCTCCAAGAATTAGCTTTTATTGTTTTATTCTCATGAATTATCCTTAGACTTCCCATGCAATTTATATCAGAATTGTCTTGCAATTCACTCAGAATAATCCTGAAGTTCTCCTTTCGAAAACTCAAACTATCCAGAAACTCTACCGTCTACCTACTCTAAAGTATAACGTGGAGTTATCTCTAAAATTCATTTTAAAATTTACTCAACATAACTTGGGAAAAATAAATCTAAAATCTCTTAGCAGTGTTTCAAAATGACTGTATCCTGAAAATCTAGTCCAGTGTTTTTTTATGGTCCAAAATCATATTTTTTTTAAACATAAAAAAACATCAATTTATAATTAACGTTTTTGCTAGTTTCTTTTCTGCCACTCCATCGCTGGCTGGGTCAGGGAACCACCAGACATTCTCTCCTACACCATCCCTCTGACGGGAAACCTCTTTCATCTCCCGGCCTACTCCACTGTTCTTCCGTCAGGGAGCCCACCGGGAACATTCCATTTTTTTTTAATCCTCCGGCCATTCTGCCAGCGTACCGGAGACACTCCTCCTCCATCGTCACTCCGACGAGGAGCCTCCCTTTGTTCTATCTCCCAGGCAGTCCACTGCCCCATCAGGGGACACTACCCTTTTTTTTCGTCTTACCGCCTACTCCGCTGGCCATTCTGCCAGGGAGCCTACCAAAGAAATTTCTCTTCTGCCGTTCTTCTGACGGTGAACTTTTTTTTTTTTCTTTTGTATCCCGGTCTACTCCACTGCCCTTCCGTCAGGGAGCCTACCGGGGATATGTTTGTTTTGTCTTCCGGCCTACTCCACTGGCCATTCTGCCAGGGAGCCTACCGGAGATATTTTCTAATTGCCCGTCCAGGGTATTCTATATATCATGTATTTTTGTTGTTGTTGTCTTATTCTCAGCCTACTGCAAACAATTATTACTGCTCCGCCCTTCCGTCGGAGAGTAATATTTTTTTTATTACACTATACTTACATTGACACTGATCTACCGGCTGCGCCATTGTCGTGACCGGACCGAGGTTTCCAGCCTCGGTCACGGCTACACGAATCTCGGCTGCTAAGCTTCCACTGCTACTGCTGCTATTCCTGTTGCTGTTCCTGCTGCTGCTGCTGTTCCTGTTGCTGCTGCTGTTCTTGCTGCTGCTGCTGCTCGTCCGTCGCCTTCAACGTTCGTCACAAGAATCCCTTCTGCGAGCTTAGTTAGCCCATATTTATACCAAAAGAATGTTCCCTATTTTACACAGCACTGCTAGCTGTCTCGGGATTTGCCCTCACAAAGCAATGATAGTTAGATTTTATTCACATTCACGCTAATTTGGGTTTACTCAAATTACGCGTTTCATTAATGATTTAATTTTCCTTTTTTTTTTTTAATCATTATTATTTTACACCAACTCTATACACCACAACGATCATTTACGGTAAACAACAATTGGATGCTTTGGTGCATAAACAGCCATATTTAGCAACTTTATCTACGAGGCAGATTGTTTGATTCGTATTTCATGCGTTTAAACAAGCGTAAATTTGACGTTGGACTGGACGTTATCTAAGGGGTGTCCCATATCAAATTGCATCACGGAAATAACGCTGTAGAAAATTACCCTTTGGGTATTTTCTCTTGAAAATTTGGGTAGAAGTAGTTTAGAGTGTATTGTTTACTCTGTATTTTTTATCGCTGTCAGTTTTTCGAAAGTTGGAAAAAATTCTCGTCACCCAAAGAGCAACGTCGCGAATTGCTTTTGCGCAAGCACCTGGAAAATCCTCAACTCTTTCATCGGAACATCGGAAAACAACTCGGAATCGAGACTTACGTCAAGGCGGACTTCCAGCAGCTTCCG